CACACACCACTACACACACCACTACACACATCACTACACACACCACTACACACATCACTACACACACCACTACACACACCACTACACACATCACTACACACATCACTACACACATCACTACACACACCACTACACACATCACTACACACATCACTACACACATCACTACACACATCACTACACACATCACTACACACACCACTACACACATCACTACACACACCACTACACACCACTACACACATCACTACACACACCACTACACACCACTACACACATCACTACACACCACTACACACATCACTACACACATCACTACACACATCACTACACACATCACTACACACATCACTACACACATGACTACACACCACTACACACACCACTACACACATCACTACACACATCACTACACACATCACTACACACATCACTACACACATGACTACACACCACTACACACACCACTACACACATCACTACACACATCACTACACACATCACTACACACATCACTACACACATCACTACACACACCACTACACACATCACTACACACATCACTACACACATCACTACACACATCACTACACACATCACTACACACATCACTACACACATCACTACACACATCACTACACACATCACTACACACACCACTACACACACCACTACACACACCACTACACACACCACTACACACACCACTACACACACCACTACACACATCACTACACACACGACTACACACACCACTACACACACCACTACACACATCACTACACACACCACTACACACACCACTACACACACCACTACACACACCACTACACACACCACTACACACATCACTACACACATCACTACACACACCACTACACACACCACTACACAAATCACTACACACCACTACACACATCACTACACACATCACTACACACACCACTACACACATCACTACACACACCACTACACACATCACTACACACATCACTACACACATCACTACACACATCACTACACACACCACTACACACCACTACACACATCACTACACACATCACTACACACATCACTACACACCACTACACACATCACTACACACATCACTACACACACCACTACACACACCACTACACACATCACTACACACACCACTACACACCACTACACACACCACTACACACACCACTACACACATCACTACACACACCACTACACACACCACTACACACATCACTACACACATCACTACACACCACTACACACACCACTACACACACGACTACACACATCACTACACACACCACTACACACATCACTACACACCACTACACACATCACTACACACATCACTACACACCACTACACACATCACTACACACACCACTACACACATCACTACACACACCACTACACACACCTGATACACACACCACTACACACATCTATACACACCACTACACACACCACTACACACATCACTACACACACCACTACACACATCACTACACACATCACTACACACACCACTACACACACCACTACACACATCACTACACACACCACTACACACACGACTACACACATCACTACACACACCACTACACACATCACTACACACACCACTACACACACCACTACACACACCACTACACACATCACTACACACACCACTACACACATCACTACACACATCACTACACACACCACTACACACACCACTACACACATCACTACACACACCACTACACACACCACTACACACACCACTACACACATCACTACACACACCACTACACACACCACTACACACACCACTACACA